CCTTTTTTAAACTCAGGATGAATATTGATCCTCATGAGTGAACATATTTAAAGCAGAAACATTTTCTTCTGCTACAGACAGGGCAAGCCCCAGCACACCCATTTCACACTCTCTTCTGGAGATGAATGGGGAATAAATGCTTCTACGAAATGCCTAAAGCCTTGACAAATCTGTAAGGGTCCATATGGTAAAGAGGAGATGCTCAACAAGGGCCTTTCTTTTCCATTCACAACACTGTGGAGATCCCCCCACTGTTTCAGAAGGGAAACCCCAGTATTTGTTGCATATATAAATTAGAGAATAGAGCATTACTTCAGTTAGTCAGAACCTATGGAAATATGCATAGTATATATTTATCTCTAACTGCCTATGATGATACAGAGAAATGTGTCACCTAATAATGTTAAGAATAAGTTGGGGCCCAAGATCCCAGAAAATAAAAAGAGTTCTTACTGTCCTAAGTTTTTAAAAATGTATATCAAGGGCTTCCCTGGTGATGCAGTGGTTGGGAGTCTGCCTGCCGATGCAGGGACACGGGTTCGTGCCCCAGTCCGGGAAGATCCCACATGCCGCGGAGTGGCTGGGCCTGTAAGCCATGGCCGCTGAGCCTGCGCGTCTGGAGCCTGTGCTCCGCAACGGGAGAGGCCACGACAGTGAGAGGCCCGCGTACAGAAGAAAAAAAAAAAAAATGTATATCAAAACAATTGGACCTAGAGCACAAGTATAGAGAAGATGGATGGGAGGTTCCAGAAATAGATGGAAAAACAAAACAAGACAAAACAAAAACACAAAGCCTTACTCCTGGATGAGGGTCCAGTAGCTGGAACAGATAGTGTAGGTTCCTAGTTAGCTCATATTTTATGATTGTTCTCAATAAAGTGAAGGGTAAGAAATGAAAAAGCCAGCACAAGATGAAACAAGTTTCATGGACTATTTTCATCTGAAAATCTCTTTGAGGAGCAACTCCTTGTGTCAGCCTGGCCCAGGAGATTCCGGCTAGGTGCATCATCGGTGGAGACGTCTGTTCTTGAACCGTGAACCGAGAACCAGAAGAAAGTTCGGGTCCATTTCCTGTTCTTCTCTAGTCCTTCTTAATTTTGTTTTATTTTGTTGTCTTTTCCAATTAAATAGAAATAGCGTGAGGCTGGATTACCTTTTTTACAGAACCCTGGTCTTTATCTTTGATTCCTAAGAAATGTTATGGCAAAACTGTTTATTACCCAAAAACATTTAGGAAACTTACGTTGAGTTTTTGAAGTTCAAGCTCAACCTAGGGGGCAAGCTTTAAGAGGGTAGAAGTAACATCTCTACTTCACAGAACTTTAGCAAATGATTATTCTCTGTTTTTCTCCCCATGGTTTCTTCTCGGCAAACTTTTAGACAGAAAGTTTGATAGGCTCAATTTTTGTTTTCTCTTGCTTTAGTCAATTGTAGGTTCTAAATTTAAAGCCCAAGTTGCATTTTTATTTTTTGAGCTTTGAATGCATTTTAGCTTTGGAAGTATATATATATTTAGCTACTGCCAGTTTACTCCTTGGTAGGACTGGTAGCTAAGTCAACTTTTCTCTTAACATTCTATGAGTTTTCTCTTATAGAACACAGATTCATCTAGATAGAATTAAACACTTTCCCATCACTTAAATAAAGGGGAAATCTCTTACTAAATTTCTTTGGAAAGAAGGAAAGACAAAGAAAAAGCACATTTGAGAAATAATCTGAAACTATAATATTAATGAAAAAAGCCCTAACCATTTTCTAAAGCTGCACCATGTATGAGGCACATACCAGGTGCTTACTTCTACCTGATCATTCAAAAGTATAAAGTTACTTATAAACCCTAAAGTTACGGAAGAGTGTAAAACCTTAAAACGCTGTGGATTTTCTAAGTGTTATAGAAATCTGTGAATAATTCATCGCTTTAAGAGAATATTAAAGTGAGGATTTTTGTGGTATTCACATCTGTCTACCGTTTATATAGCTGTATGTTTCTGTTCATTCTTACGGTTGACTGAACACTGTTGCTTGTCCATTCGTTTCCTTTACTACCATTTTCTTGTTAGCCTTTTTCTATGTCTGCCAAGTCCTTTACATTTTGCGGAAATTCTGGTCATTAATAATTGTGATGTCTAGAGAAATAGCCCACCGTTTGCTCTTAAACTTCAACTCTATTATTTCTTTCACCATTTCATTGATTTTTTTTCCCTTCAACAATTGAGTCGTAAAAGAAGACATGGCTGGAAGATAAAGAGAGGACAGAAACGAGATGCAGAAGGATGTCATCTGAATGCCAGATTATTATATAATGATGGGAAGAATGGGTGGGATGGGTAGCTATCATGTATTTATCATTTAGTTTAGACTTAGGAACATTTGTTGATTTAATGTTTATGCAGACTTTAAGAGACAGTATAGTGCAGTGGTTTTCAAACCTCATTTTGGAGCCTGATTGCCTAATTATAAATTCTGGCTTTTTTTTTTTTTGCAGTACGCAGGCCTCTCACTGTTGTGACCTCTCCCATTGCGGAGCACAGGCTCCGGATGCGCAGGCTCAGCGGCCATGGCTCACGGGCCCAGCCGCTCCGTGGCACGTGGGATCCTCCCGGACCGGGGCACGGACCCGTGTCCCCCGCATTGGCAGGCGGACTCTCAACCACTACGCCACCAGGGAAGTCCAAATTCTGGCTTTTCATATTTGCTGTATATATGACCTTAAGCAAGTCACTTAACTGCGTTATGTCTTATCACTAAAATCAGGGTGATAATAACAGCTACAATATAGAGTTTTTGTAAATATTAAATGAGTTAATATACCACACTTAGAGTAATACTTGGATTATAGTAATCATTCAATGAAAGTTCAGCTTATTATTATGCTCCCCATTCTCATATGGAGAAATTGAGGCTCACAGAAGTTCAATTTATTTGCTTAAGCAATTGACCACAGCAAACAAGAGGTAGAGTCAGTATGTGAACTCAGGTCTGTTTGACTCCAAAGCTACCAGTTAAACGTCTCCACTGTCAATGACGATGTCAAATACTCTAAACCCCATGGTTGAACGACTGTGAGTCAGCAGTATCCCCAACCTAAAAGCTAAAAATTCTAATCCTGGCAAAGAGTTTTAAGAACCAGCTACGTACACTCAGAAGAGGATCAAAAATAGGGATTCAGCCTGAACTAGAAAAGAAACCATTCTCTCAGCTAAAGCTGCCTAAGGGCTGCTTTCTTTGTTTTATTTTGGTTTTTGTCTGTTTTGAAAATTAGGAGAAATTGGGAGTTTACATTTAAATATCATTTATAGTCTGTTAAAGTTGTGTCTAGCTATAGGTAGCTCTTATCCCTTAGTATGGGTTAAACAATTCTTACATTATCTTTTATTGATGTTTCACATAAAGTTCTAATTACCCCTCCAGGTCGTATAATATTTTAGACTGAATGGAACCTCCTGAACTACTGCAATCATGATTTTGGCAGCCAGACTGGGCCAACTACTGCCCTAGAAAGGCTTATTCCAATATGCGTGTGCCACTCGTTTCACTGAAAAAGTCAACGTCCTAAATTGGCCACTTTACAACATTCACATACAAACCCAAACTCTCAATATTCCCCCCTAAACCACTCCTGCAGTTTCCCCCATAACAATACTAAGGAGCAACTTTGTCCTTCCAGATGCTCAAGGCAAAAACCTTGGTGCCATCCCTGCGTCTTGATTTTCTCTCCCAGCCACATCCGGTCCGTCAGCCAATCCTACTGGCTTTACTGTCCAGATACATTCAGAACGTGACCACTTCTCACCACCCCTTGTGGTTCAAGTCCAGATTACTTCAAGAGCTCCCTCGCTGGTCTCTGCCTTTTCGTACTCAGTCCCTCCTTCAGTTCCTCCTTTGCCCAAGAACTCCAAGGGCTTCCTTCTCACTCAGGGTGAAGTCAGGGCCTCACGATGACCCAGGGGCACTACATCATCTGCCATCTAATACTTTTCTGACCTCGTTTCCTGCTGCACTCCCTCCCTGCAGTCCTTCCAGCCAACCTGGCCTCTTCTCTGTCTTGAAACAAGCCAGCAGGCTCTTGTCCCAGGGGTTCTCTGCCTTCTGCCTAGAATATTCTTCCCTTAGAGAGTCAGATGTCTACAGGTCTTTACTCAAAAGTCACTCTCTCAACGAGGCCCTCCTGGGCCTCACTATCTAAAATTTCAAGCCAGGGAATTCCTTGGCGGTCCAGTGTTTAGGACTCTACGCTCTCCTTGCCGAGGGCCTGGGTTCAAACCCTAGTCAGGGAACTAAGATCCCGCAAGCCATGTGGCGCAGCCCCAAAATAAAAATTAAACAATTAAAAATTAAAAAAAATAAAATTTCAACCCAATGTCCCCCCACTCTCAATGCTTATTATTGTCCCCTCCCTGCAACACTTTTTCTTCTTAGACTTAGTCTCTGTCACTACCTAACATAACATTTTTTACTTACTCATCTTATTATATTTATTGTCTGTCTCCCTGCCAGCTTATAAATTCCACGAAGACAGGGATTATTTTTTTCCTGTCTTCCATTCACTGCTGTTTCCCTAATGCTGGTCACATAATAGGCACTCAGTGCCCTTTTGTTAAATGTTGCTGAAGTTCATTCAGGCACAGTTGAAATTATAAGCTTTTGACATAAGAGGATAGCTAAACTGTTTTCTATTTATAAACTTGGGAGTTATTCAGCCAGTCCTAATTAATAGTTCTGAAATCAATTTTAATTATTTGACAACACGATATACCAAGCTGAGGTATTTATATTTTCTGTTTATCCCACTTGCTGGAACATTTGATAGCAGCTTTCTACCACAAAAACATTTTTAGATTAAAATTACTTTGCCCCCTATGGTTATCTGTGGGCACTCGTAACAAATTGTTTGCTAGCGCTAAGTGAGCCAGTGCTGATTGGCCATTGGGAACTCTAACAAACTTTAAATTTCAGCAGAATGCCCAGACACCGTTAATTCTGCAGAAGAAACCAGGTATTCTGAAGGTCAAAGATCCCCAGGTAATTTGGCTCTCTTGATGTTCTCGATAACAACTTTATAACATAGCTCACATTTTTAAGATGCGTGCCATCCAGGTAGGGAGCTTGCTTTTGAAAATGAGTGCATATTGAAAGTGTTCTCTACTGAGCACACCTGTGTACTATTTAGTGCTTTGTTTTAGAAAAAGAAAGTGTGTTACCAAGCTCTAGAAATGATCAACTAAACTTGGTGGTTTGGTAGCAGCTTTCCCTCTGATTTGACTACCGACATTATCAAGCTCCACAATAACTCAAAGACTTCAATTTTACTCTACACTTTCGCTTATAAGACAGAATAAGGATAATATGATCAGACTTATACTTGCAAACCTCATCTGTACTGATATTTCTACTGATCAGCATTGTCATTTGATACTTGACTTGTACTGTCCTAACCTCTAAAATGCTTGGAAGCTGAATTATAGCTAGGATTAAGGACCTTAAAATTGTATTAATTTAGAAGAGAATAGCCCAGGATTTTAGAATAGATTTAAAAGTTATATTTATTTCTCCAAATAAAAGCTATTACCTTGAACTGGTTAAAGATTGCAACAGTATTTAGATTATTTTTCCTATTAAAAGTACTTTTCTCTCAAGTAATATCAAAGAGTGGTGTAAATTTTTACTTCTCACATTGGTTGCTATATGTCTGTGTGGTAGTTAGTAAAATACTTAATATCAAAACCAACAGATCAGTCATCCAAAATTATGTTGACTTTCTTTCTCAATCTAATGGCTACTTGACTTAAATGAACTCACTAGATCCTCTTAGCATATAAACATGTACCTTTATCCATAAGAAAATGTTAGTGTTTTAAACATCATTTTGTGGATCCCAGTAAAGTACTATGATTTTCTTTACATCAACTACATGTAGATTTTTCTGTAATAAGATAAAAGAGTAGAAACTTATTCAAGGTGCTGTAGAGTCTGGCGTTAGAGCTACATTGGCTGGATGCTAATCCCAGTTCTGCCCCTGAACACCTGGGAATTCTGGGACAAGTTACTTGACTTTGTGTCTATTTCCTAATCTGTAAAACAGGACTAGTAATGCCACCTAACTCCACAGGGTTACTGTGAGGCTCAATTAATTGAAATATGTCAAATTTTTAGAACAGTCCTTGGCCCATTTTAGTTTTCAATAATGTTAGCTGTTAATATAACTATTACATAAATTGTTTTGGTCTCCAGCCCACAGGTGGCTTCCACCTCATATACCTTGCTAATGAGTACGAGGATATATATTCAGGCACAGGGCCGGTGGTGAACAAGATTTCATTCCTCACAGTAAAGTCTGCTACCCTGGCAGATTCATTTAGAGTCTGTTATGAGTTGCTATACTAACTTAATGCATGTTATTCTTTTTTTTTTAACTGTTTATTTTTTTAATGACAAAAGCTAACCTTTATTGAGCACTTACTATGTGCCCGGCTCTGTGTAAAGAACTAAGAATTTTTTCATCAGATACAAGTATAAGTATTATTCAGATCTTACAAATGAGGTAACCAAAGTTTAGAGAGTTTAAATGACTTGCCCAGGGTCCCTTGGCTATTAAATAACAGAGCCAAGAACTCAAACCCAGATCTAACTTTAAAACCCTATCTCTTAACAATTTTGCTTTACTTCCTCTCTAAGAGATAGAATTCTGGGTTGACCACTGCTACCATCACACGGGTCCCTGAGGAAGTAGAATATATTTATAAAGGACTGAAAGAAAAGAATGGTCATTTAAAAACCCTTTTTTCTCTCTCTTGTTCAAATTACATCATTTCTATTGATCTACCTTAAAGTTTATTGACTCTTTGCTTAATGTTATTCTGAATTATATAAATAATTCAATTAAATGGTCTCTCTCTAAAGATAAAAGGGAAAAGTTTGGGCTGACAATAGAGCAAATAAATATGTCTATGAACTCCATTTCTATCCAACTTCATTGTTTTCGTAATATTGGACAATTTTCATTTTCACATTGGAATAATTAGACATATGAAAGCTCAGATTAAAGTTTCTACACTTGGATATAAATTATATGTACTTTTTTTTTGAACAAGAGGAAATGGACTGCTAAGGGGAAGGAGGTTTGTATAGACTTTTCTGTTTTATTTATTGTTATGGCTGCAGTTCATAACTGGCAATGCTTTAGGGTAAAATATTATTGTCTTTTTACAGAGATTCTCAAAGATGCGAATCATCTCTTTGGGACTGCTCCTTTTCAGTCTGACCCTGGCAGCACCAGTAAGCATTTACAGATTCAGTTATACATCATATAATCTCTTGCTCTCCTATTCTATTTTTCTTTTAAGCGATGTCTTTTGAAATTAGTAGCACTTACCTAGTTCAGTTACAATAAAGTACCACACAAAGAGGACCCATCCAACACTTGACACAAATGTCTGTCACCAGGGAAGCCCTCAACGAACATGTGAGAAGAATTACAAGATGGCTACATGTTGCCTTTGGAGAAACACCAGTGAAAATATTTTTGAGAAAATCAATAGCCAGCCACAGTATTTCAATCAGCTAATGCTAGTGAGTAAATATACCCAAATTATAACCTGTCAAAAGAATTTCTCAATATTTTACCAAAAACGGAGAGAATTTGACTTGAATGCTCCATGACTAAGCAACTAGACTTTACAGCTACACGATAACATGAAGGGACCAGACCTTTCCTGTAGTTCTTGCAACGCTCCAACACTGTGAGATCCTGCTGGTCATTTTGTCTTCATCAGCGAGGCGAAAGATGGGAAGAAGCCCCCCCTCAGCTTAATCCAAATCAAGCTCCAATTTCCTTTTGTGTCTTCTCTTGCCTCTGACTCACCCAGATGAGTGCTCAGGATGTGACTAAGTCACCTTGCGAAAATGCTGAGCACTACAGATATTTTCTGCAAAGGAGACACGGTGCTAATTAGATAGTGTCTGGAAAACATCCTAACTTCTCGGAGTAACCTTTTCAGTTGGAAAAGCGTGGACGGAAGTGGTCATTCTGTTGTCAGAAGAACTTACACATAGGTCCTGAGCGAGTGGGCAACGAACTGGGAAACGCACTGACGGGCATGAGCTGTGCCAACCTGCGAGGAGAGCCGGAGCTGAGGAAGGTGTGGCCCCTCTCAGCACACATGCTCTAGCAGTCCTCTGGGGGACGTACTGCTTAAAATAGACATCTGCCAGGCCCAATGCACACGACTGACTTTGCTCAATCGGGGCCACAGAGGCACAGGCTTAGGCATGAGGAGGATGGCGTGGGCCCCACTGACCCAGCTCATCCCACCAGCCGAGGACGAGCCTGTTTTGAGCACTACGTTCCGAAGAACAGCTGCAGTGGCATCTCCGACCATCTTCCAGGAAATGTGCTGTGTCAACACCAACCCAGTGACCACCGGTCAAGAGAGGATGCCTGGCTTCTTTACCCGAGGGAAACAACGCCGTCTCCATTTCAGGGCCACGTTCAAGGGCAGGAGAGCTGCCAAGTGGGTGTGAAGGGTGGTGGGAGGGGAAGGAGGGGGGGCAGATTTCGAATTAAAGAGGTCCGGCAAGGACACAGAGACAAATTTGGAACGATGAAGGGCTAACTGTAATGTTTTCTTTCAGATATGGATTCTATTTGAGTAATTATCTAAAGTACTTAATGACAGATTGGTGGTATCAGAAATCAGTATGTACTAAGCCATTCACATATGTTCTGGAACCATAATCAAAATTCCAACTCTAGGGGAGGAAAAGGTTTTCCTCAACCCTCTTTGGGTCCCTGGCTGCGTTTGAAAATTCAACTGACAAAGATTAACAGGAGAAGAGCACACAAATCTTATTAAGGTTTTACATGTACATGAAAGCCCTTCCCAAGAGAATGAGGACCCAAAGAAGTGACCAGAGCAGGAAGCTTCTACACCTTTTAGACAAAGAAACAATACATTTGTGAAGAATTGGCAAGATACAGGGGCTAGGGGAAGTCCAAGTAGGACTACGGAGTCCTTCTCTTCCCTAACTAGGAAGATTAGGATTAGTTTAACAAGATTTCTTTGCAGATTCTTCCGTGCCATCTCTGGACTGGTAAGAGTGTGTCTCTAGTGAAAGGAGAATTTATTTCCTGCCTTTAGGCAGAAAAGGGGAAGGTTTTTCCACATGTTCTACTTCTTAATTGCCTTGAGCTCAAAATAATTTTTATGTCAAAAAGACATATTTAAGGGTGACATTCTTGTTTCCTTAAAAAACAAAACTTTAAGTGCAAGAATATAAAAGATGATTGTTGGGCCATGCAATTCAATTAATATTCATTGATATGCAATTAGACTATAAAGACTTTGTTATGTTACCTTGTTGTAAGTTCATGGTTTATTATCGTGAACTGTATTAAACATACCATCAAGTATGTTTTTAATACATGTGTGTGTGTTCTGTAAGAAAATACCGAATACCCCAAACTCTCATTTCTTTCTTTTGCTTAATATCTACCCATCTCGTTTTTTATATTTTCTCTTTCCTATACCCTCATTTCCAGAACTATTTTAACTGTTTTGATATTTCTGAGGAGTGATGCAATGCTCTAAATTTATGCGCACAAGATCACACAAGAACCGACATCAGCAGAAGGCAATAAAGGGTAGAATTATAAAATATGCAGTTAGGGGAGAAAAATTATTGTGGAATCGAAAAGAAGTAATTTTCTAGGGCTTCCTTGGTGGCTCAGTGGTTGGGAGTCCGCCTGCCGATGCAGGGGTCGCGGGTTCGTTCCCTGGTCCGGGAAGATCCCACGTGCCGCGGAGCGGCTGGGCCCGCGAGCCATGGCCGCTGAGCCTGCGCGTCCGGAGCCTGTG